GTTGATGGACAGTTAAAGAGGCATCATAAATAATACAACTGCATCTTAATACTCTTACCTGGCTTCCATAATACTACGGCTGCATCTCAATACTCTTACCTGGCTTCCATAATACTACGGCTGCATCTCAATACTCTTACCTGGCTTCCATAATACTATGGCAGCATCTTAATACTCTTACCTGGCTTCCATAATACTACGGCTGCATCTCAATACTCTTACCTGGCTTCCATAATACTACGGCTGCATCTCAATACTCTTACCTGGCTTCCATAATACTACGGCTGCATCTCAATACTCTTACCTGGCTTCCATAATACTACGGCTGCATCTCAATACTCTTACCTGGCTTCCATAATACTATGGATGCATCTCAATACTCTTACCTGGCTTCCATAATACTATGGCTGCATCTCAATACTCTACCTGGCTTCCATAATACAACGGCTGCATCTCAATACTCTTACCTGGCTTCCATAATACTATGGATGCATCTCAATACTCTTACCTGGCTTCCATAATACTACGGCTGCATCTCAATACTCTTACCTGGCTTCCATAATACTACGGCTGCATCTCAATACTCTACCTGGCTTCCATAATACAACGGCTGCATCTCAATACTCTTACCTGGCTTCCATAATACTATGGATGCATCTCAATACTCTTACCTGGCTTCCATAATACTACGGCTGCATCTCAATAATCTTACCTGGCTTCCATAATACTACGGCTGCATCTCAATACTCTTACCTGGCTTCCATAATACTACGGCTGCATCTCAATACTCTACCTGGCTTCCATAATACTATGGCTGCATCTCAATACTCTTACCTGGCTTCCATAATACTACGGCAGCATCTCAATACTCTTACCTGGCTTCCATAATACTATGGCTGCATCTCAATACTCTTACCTGGCTTCCATAATACTACGGCTGCATCTCAATACTCTACCTGGCTTCCATAATACAACGGCTGCATCTCAATACTCTTACCTGGCTTCCATAATACTATGGCAGCATCTCAATACTCTTACCTGGCTTCCATAATACTACGGCTGCATCTCACTACTCTTACCTGGCTTCCATAATACTACGGCTGCATCTCAATACTCTTACCTGGCTTCCATAATACAACGGCTGCATTTCAATACTCTTACCTGGCTTCCATAATACAACGGCTGCATCTCAATACTCTTACCTGGCTTCCATAATACTACGTCTGCAACGCAATACTCTTACCTGGCTTCCATAATACTACGGCTGCATCTCAATACTCTTACCTGGCTTCCATAATACAACGGCTGCATTTCAATACTCTTACCTGGCTTCCATAATACAACGGCTGCATCTAAATACTCTTACCTGGCTTCCATAATACAACGGCTGCATCTCAATACTCTTACCTGGCTTCCATAATACAACGGCTGCATCTCAATACTCTTACCTGGCATCCATAATACTATGGCTGCATCTCAATACTCTTACCTGGCTTCCATAATACTATGGCTTCCATAATAATACCTGGCTTCCATAATACAACGGCTGCATCTCAATACTCTTACCTGGCTTCCATAATACTACGGCTGCATCTCAATACTCTTACCTGGCTTCCATAATACTACGGCTGCATCTCAATACTCTTACCTGGCTTCCATAATACAACGGCTGCATTTCAATACTCTTACCTGGCTTCCATAATACTACGGCTGCATCGCAATACTTTTACCTGGCTTCCGTAATAAATACTATGGCTGCATTTCTTACCTGGTTTCCTTTCCACATCTCCTCTCCTTCATTCGTCTCCTCTCCTTCATTCGTCTCCTCTCTTTCACAGAGCTGAAAACACAGAATAGGTGTAAATGTTTTTCAAGCCCAACTGTAAAGCAACCAGGTTACAGTTGGTGGTGAATATAAAACATTAAAAAGGCCAGCAAGGAATTTTAGGAATGCAAAAGTGAAAAATCTAAATTTTATTTAGGAAAATAACTTACATCAACATTCTCATTTACTATATCAACTGGGAGAGACTATTCAGATTACCAGTTACTAAACCAGGAGGATTTAGCCAATCCCTTATCAACCTGTATATGACACACACACACACACACACACACGCACGCACACACGCACGCACACACGCACACGAACAGACACTAAAAAGGTATTTGAATAAGCAGAAGTTGACACAGCAAATCCATAAATGCCAAACAACTTAACTTTTCAAATCCTGAAATGAACTTCAGCTCACACTGGTCTCCACTTATAAACCGGTTATGACAGATTCAAATAATACAATTATAATCATATTTAATTTATTCTCTCTCTCTCCAGCGGTACATAAATTATATTTGATTACATTACATTTTATATATACAGTCGTGGTCAAATGTTTTGAGAATGACACAAGTATTGGTCTTCACAAAGTTCGCTGCTTCAGTGTTATGAGATATTTTTGTCAGATGTTACTATGGTATACTGAAGTATAATTACAAGCATTCCATAAGTGTCAAAGGCTTTTATTGACAATTACATTAAGTTTATGCAAAGAGTCAATATTTGCAGTGTTGACCCTTCTTTTTCAAGACCTCTGCAATTCGCCCTGGCATGCTGTCAATTAATTTCTGGGCCACATCCTGACTGATGGCAGCCCATTATTGCATAATCAATGCTTGGAGTTTGTCAGAATTTGTGGGGTTTTGTTTGTCCACCCGCCTCTTGAGGATCGACCACAAGTTCTCAATGAGATAAAGGTCTGGGGAGTTTCCTGGCCATGGAACCAAAATGTCGATGTTTTGTTCCCCGAGCCACTTAGTTATCACTTTTGCCTTATGGCAAGGTGCTCCATCGTGCTGGAAAAGGCATTGGTCGTCACCAAACTGTTCTTGGATGGTTGGGAGAAGTTGCTCTCAGAGGATGTGTTGGTACCATTCTATATTCATGGCTGTGTTCTTAGGCAAAAATGTGAGTGAGCCCACTCCCTTGGCTGAGAAGCAACCCCACACATGAATAGTCTCAGGATGCTTTACTGTTGGCATGACACAGGACTGATGGTAGCGCTCACCTTCTCTTCTCCGGACAAGGTGTTTTCCGGATGCCCCAAACAATCGGAAAGGGGATTCATCAGAGAAAATGACTTTACCCTAGTCCTCAGCAGTCCAATCCCTGTACCTTTTGCAGAATATCAGTCTGTCCCTGATGTTTTTCCTGGAGAGAAGTGGCTTCTTTACTGCCCTTCTTGACACCAGGCCATCCTCCAAAAGTATTCACCTCACTGTGCGTGCATATGCACTCACACCTGCCTGCTGCCATTCCTGAGTGAACTCTGCACTGGTGGTGCCCCGATCCTGCAGCTGAATCAACTTCAGGAGACGGTCCTGGCGCTTGCTGGACTTTCTTGGGCGCCCTGACGCCTTCTTCACAACAATTGAACCTCTCTCCTTGAAGTTCTTGATGATCCGATAAATGGTTGATTTAGGTGCAATCTTACTAGCAGCAATATCCTTGCCTGTGAAGCCCTTTTTGTGCAAAGCAATGATGACGGCACGTGTTTCCTTGCAGGTAACCATGGTTAACAGAGGAAGAACAATGATTTCAAGTACCACCCTCCTTTTAAAGCTTCCAGTCTGTTATTCTAACTCAATCAGCATGACAGAGTGATCTCCAGCCTTGTCCTCATCAACACTCTCACCTGTGTTAACAAGAGAATCTCTGACATGATGGCAGCTGGTCCTTTTGTGGCAGGGCTGAAATGCAGTGGAAATGTTTTTTTTGGGATTAAGTTCATTTTCATGGTAAAGAGGGACTTTGCAATTCATTGCAATTCATCTGATCACTCTTCATGACATTCTGGAGTATATGCAAATTGCCATCATCAAAACTGAGGCAGCAGACTTTGTCAAAACTTTTGACCACGACTGTACACATTAAGTTTCAATACATAAATATATGAGAATGTCATACATTTGCCAAATCAAGCATGACCAGAAAGAGGGAATGAGAGGAAGGGAGAGGAGGAGATATAAAATGATCAGTTCAGAGATTAAGGAAAAGAGGTGGAAGGAGTTGGGGATGTCTGGGAGGAGTTGGGAATTACCTGATGAGAAACTCCATGATTCCTCGCTGCCTTGTCTCCTTCTCAAAACCCATTGGATGAGAAGGTCAGAGGGGTGGGACCTCTGACTTTCTTATCCAATGGATTTTGAGAAGGAGGCGAGGAGAGAGGATGCCAGGAATCAAGGAAATGCAATAGAGATTCTCCCAGTGATTCAACAGCATCCCAGTTCAACAGCAGTTCCGCACTTCCCACGTTTCATCAATGAAGTACTTTCGCCATCTGGTGGGCAATAGAGGTTATTAGCAAAGTATTTTACTTTTGGTAAAATGAATAATTATTCATACATAATTATTCATACATAAAAGAAGAGTATAATGACTAAACATTACACATAAACAGAGACACGACAGTACAAAAACACACACGATTAATTCCTCAGATGAATTCAGCTGAACCATATAACTGATTGTGTTGACGAGAAGATAAGACAGGAGGCAGCAGAACAGGGCCTATCTGCCTGTGTAATAAGCCTCAATAAGAGGTGGATCTATGCTCTGATACAGATAGGGTGAGGACAGATACGCAGTGTGTTATCTTATCTCTCTTAGCATGCGGTGTGTGTGTGTGTGTGTTCACTCTTTATCGCGGAAGATAGGGAGTGTATCATGTGTGCCACGTCTAGTGTGTAGCGATAAGTGACAGGAGAGGGTATATGAAGTTGTAGATTGTCCATTGTTAGTTAATTAAAGGGTAGAAAGCAAGATGTTAGAGTCTGTCAGTCAGTCGTGCAGATAGTCACTGAGACACAGGTACCCAGAGTAGTGAGCTAAAGGTTAGAGTCAGAAGACTTAGAGTTAGTAGTTTTGGTTGGGCTCTGGTGTTTTGGACGTATTGGGGTTATTGTGGGACCTGCGATCCTGCGGTGACCGTGAAGCACCAGCCATGATGCTAAGCCTGGGTCTCCTCTGCCTACTGGCCCTCTCTCCTTCTCTGGCTGCCCCACACCGACGCTCCCTCCCTGGGGTGAATTCTCGTTCCGGGAACAACAAGCTGCTGCTAATCTCTTTCGATGGGTTCCGTTGGGACTATGACAGGGACGTGGACACCCCTCACCTGGACACGATGGGCCGGGACGGGGTCAAGGCAGCCTACGTCACACCCCCCTACCTCACCATCACCAGCCCCACACACTTCACCCTGCTCACAGGTAAGATACTGCTACACATGCACAACGTACACATACCGGTAGGATACATACTGTTACACACACTGCTAACTACATAACCAACTTCAGCCGAATCACAGAACAACACGTATTGACACAATGTCCACTATTGCTTCTAACGAGTGTAGCCTACTGCCAGTGCCGCATGCAAAAATATATCTATATGCATGCACTAAAACCTTCTTGGGGTTTTGACAGTATTATACACTAAAAAAACTAGCAGTAAAGTACCGTATTAATTATTTACAGTAAATTGCAACACACTCTGGGTGATTTTAGGCATAAACAGTCAATTATACCGTAAATTCCAAATAAACTCTGGTTTAACAGTACATTACTGTAACCGCACACCATTGTGGGATTGGCAACAGGCAACTTTTTCAATTCTGAGTGATAGGTTTGAAAGACATCAAGGTCTGAAGTGAACCAACCAAACAAGGTGTGTACAACATTTATATGATTTACTAAATGTATTTCACAGAGAATTATACTGTAATGGAAAAATTATTTATATGGTAAATTTGTAAATTTGTAAATTTGTATTAACATATTTTGAGGCGTGCCTTGTAAGAGGCTACATTAGAGAGAGTGCTGGACCAAATTCTTATTATCATTTCTATTCTTTTTCTTTAGGGGGTAGATCAGCTTTAATATTGCAGATAGATTGTGGCTTCTATCAATGTAATTATCTGCATCATTTCCAATCCCCCTATATTTTGGGGGAAATATATACATTATTTTTTTGTTATCTATTTTCATTCTTCCTGATTATTTTTCCCTAACCCTACCATCCCTCCCCTAATTGGAGTAAACTAATGGACAATTATACTTAGGCCTCTACTTCCAGCTTATACTCTACATACTATATACGTTTTACGGACACAGTATATTTTATATATATTTTACATTAGTTATCTTGTTTTTTCTTATTTTTAGTCCCACCCTTCAGCTCCCCTCATCTATCTCTGAACACCATCCAGTTTTGATTTCTATTTGCCATATATTTTTTTACTGTGCTGTGATGTTTCACAAAAGTTCTGATCCTTTCTATTATTTTTATTGATCAATTGACTATCACCCAGCAGTGCTATTTGCAGAGTTAGCTCCAGGTAAATGTTGCAATTCTTCAACCATTCCTTGACCCTGCGACCAAAAACAAGCTAGGTATGGGCAGTACCAAAACAAGCGATCTAATGATTCTGTCTCTTCACAGCAAAATCTGAAGAGCTGGGATGGTTGTATCCACCATATATATAACATTCTATTGGTCGCAAGAATTTTGTATAATAATTGACATTGAAAAACTTGACGGTTTCAATCTGGTGTCATTTTGTGTATCAGCTCATAAATCATGTGCCATGGAATCGGTACATCGAAAACCAACTATTTTGCAACCTGTATGGCACAGCTGTCAATTTTTTGGTCCTTAAATTAAACTGGAATACTTTTTTATTCATCATAATTTTCTTTAACCAGTTTTGGTCTTTAATGCAGGGCCGACAGACAAGTTCCTGTACCAATTTACCTGATATGTGGTAGTAGTGTGCCAACAATTTAATGTGTATAGGGGACAGATTGGAGTGGCAGTAAGTCTCAAACCTTTAATGGTTGAGTATTTGTCATGTCCTTTGGTCTGTGTTTTGCCTTTTAGTCACTGGGAGAATCTCAATTGCATACTCCTAGCGTCCTCTCTCCATGTCTCCTTTTCAAATCCCATTGGATGAGAAAGCCAAAGGTCCCTCCCCTCTGACCTCCAATGGGTTTTTGAGAAGGAGGTGAGGAGAGAGGACGCTAGAATTATGCAATTGAGATTCTCCTACTGCCAGTATGGAAGCCTTTGTTGAGGCCTCTGGAAGTGAAAGTGATATTAAACACTTTCACTTAAACATTATATATCACTTGCACTAGAGGCCCTAACAAAGGCTTCCAAACTGGCATTCATTGATATGCTGTAATATGTAAACACATTACCTAGCAGCCAACCTGCTTACACCAATCCCATAAAGTTAAATACTGTAAAATAGAAACCCCATCTCCCCTCAATGAATTTAATTCATTCATTCATTACAATTACTGTATTCATAATACAGTAATGCACTGTACTGTTATTTTACTTTAACTTACAGTTGCCTGTGAGTTACAGTACACACATCAGTAAAAAAAAAAGGTAACAGTCCTGGATACTGTAAAATACGGTACAGTAACATACTGTACCTTATTTTACGGTAACTTACAGGCAACTAGCTGCCTGTATATCGTAAAAACAACAGGAAAGGTTTAGCTAAAGCCTACAATTAGATATAATTTGCCACCTACCACACTTTTTCAAACCACATTGACCGCTCATTATTTTTCTCCCAACATAAATGCTGCAACTGAAAGTTATCCAAATAGATAGGCCACCCAGGTTAATCAAATTCTCTGCTATAGAGAGTTCACTATTAACAAGTGTAGGAAGCTCAGCCATAAGACCAGGCATAACACATTTTGTTGATACTCATAATGTTCCTCTCTACGGAAATCTTCAGTAAAAGGTCAATTTATTTGGTTATTCCTAGATTCATTACATGTTAATGTTTCAAATCAAATGTAGTTCAACTTCAAAATAATAAACAATGCAAATAGTCCGGGTAGCCATTTGAATAGCTGTTCAGGAGTCTTATGGCTTGGGGTTAGAAGCTGTTAAGAAGCCTTTTGGACCTAGACTTGGTTCTCCGGTACCACTTGCCTTGTGGTAGCAGAGAGAACAGTCTATGACTAGGGTGGCTGGAGTCTTTTGCAATTTTCAGGGCCTTCCTCTGACACCGCCTGGTATAGAGATCCTGGATGGCAGGAAGCTTGGCCCAAGTGATGTACTAGGCCGTACGCACTACCCTCTGTAGTGCCTTGCGGTTGGAGGCCGAGCAGTTGCCATACCAGGCGGTGATGCAACCAGTAAGGATGCTCTCGATGGTGCAGCTGTATAACTTTTTGAGTCTCCTGAGGGGGAATAGGCGTTGTGGTGCCCTCTTCATGACTGTCTTGGTGTGTTTGGACAATGATAGTTCGTTGGTGATGTGGACACCAAGGAACTTGAAGCTCTCAACCTGCTCCACTACAGCCCTGTCGATGAGAATGGGGGCGTGCTCGGCCCTCCTTTTCCTGTAGTCCACGATCATCTACTTTGTCTTGATCACGTTGAGGGAGAGGTTGTTATCCTGGCACCACACTGCCAGGTCTCTGACCTTCTCTCTATAGGCTGTCTCATCGTTGTCGGTGATCAGGCCTACCACTGTTGTGTCGTCGGCAAACTTAATGATGGTGTTGGAGTCGTGCTTGGCCATGCTTGGGCTTGACAGTCATGGGTGAACAGAGAGTACAGGAGGGAACTGAGCATGCACCCCTGAGGGGCCCCCGTGTTGAGGATCAGCGTGGCAGATGTGTTGTTACCTACCCTTACCACCTGGGGGCGGCCCTTCAGGAAGTCCAGGATCCAGTTGCAGAGGGAGGTGTTTAGTCCCAGGGTCCTTAGCTTAGTGATGAGCTTTGAGGGCACTATGGTGTTGAACGCTGAGCTGTAGTCAATGAATAGCATTCTCGCATAGGTGTTCCTTTTGTCCAGGTGGGAAAGGGCAGTGTGGAGTCATCTATGGATCTGTTGTGGCGGTATGCAAATTGGAGTGGGTCTAGGGTTTCAGGGATAAAGGTGTTGGTGTGAGCCATGACTAGCCTTTCAAAGCACTTCATGGCTACAGACGTGAGTGCTACGGGTCGGTAGTCATTTAGGCAGGTTACATTTACATTTTAGTCATTTAGCAGACGCTCTTTTCCAGAGCGACTTACAGTTAGTGAGTGCATACATTTTCATGCTGGCCCCCCGTGGGAATCGAACCCACAACACTGGCGTTGCAAGCACCATGCTCTACCAACTGAGCTACACGGTGTCTACCTTAGTGTTCTTGGGCACAGGGACTATGGTGATCTGCTTGAACATGTTGGTATTACAGACTCAGTCAGGGAGAGGTTGAAAATGTCTGTGAAGACACTTGCCAGTTGGTCAGCGCATGCTCGGAGTACACGTCCTGGTAATCTGTCTGGCCCTGTGGTCTTGTGAATGTTGACCTGTTTAAAGGTCTTACTCACACCGGCTACGGAGAGCGTGATCACACAGTCGTCCAGAACAGCTGGTGCTCTCATGCATGCTTCAGTGTTGCTTGCCTCGAAGCACGCATGGAAGTAATTTAGCTTGTCTGGTAGGCTTGTGTCACTGGGCAGCTTGCGGCTGTGCTTCCCTTTGTAATCCGTAATAGATCAGCTTAATATTGCAGATAGATTGTAACTTCCATCAATGTAATTGTCTGCATCACTTCCAATCCCCCATGTTTTTTATATATATACTCCCCTTAATTACTTTTCAAGCCCACCATCCTTTCCCTACTTGGGGTAAATTAGTGAACAACAGTGATACTTCCTACTTTAGTTTTTGCTTGTAAGCAGAAATCAGGAGGATAGATTTATGGTCAGATTTGCCAAATGGAGGGCGAGGGAGAGCTTTGTACGCATCTCTGTGTGGAATAAAGGTGGTCTAGATTGTTTTCCCCTCTGGTTGCACATTAACATGCTGGTAGAAATTTGGTAAAACGGATTTAAGTTTCCCTGCATTAAATTCCCCGGCCACTAGCAGCGCCACCTCTGGATGAGCATTTTCTTGTTTGCTTATGGCCTTATACAACTCGTTGAGTGCGGTCTTAGTGCCAGCATCGGTTTGTGGTCGTAAATAGACAGCTACGAAAAATATAGATGAAAACTCTCTTGGTAGATAGTGTGGTCTACAGCTTATCATGAGATACTCTACCTCAGGCGAGCAAAACCTTGAGACTTCCTTAATATTAGATTTCGTACACCAGCTGTTATTAACAAATAGACACAGACTGCCACCCCTTGTCTTACCGGAGGCAGTTGTTCTATCTTGCCGATGCACGGAAAACCCAGCCAGCTGTATGTTCTCCATGTCGTCGGTGAAACATAAGATATGACAGTTTTTAATGTCCCGTTGGTAGGATAGTCTTGATCAGAGCTCATCCAGTTTATTATCCAATGACTGCACGTTGGCTAATAGTACGGAAGGTAGAGGCGGGTGATTCTTACAAGTCCCCTATATCCCCCGTCTCTTCTTCATGCAAATGACGGGGGTTTGGGCCTTGTCCTGTGTCTGAAGTAAATCCTTGTCTGGTGTCCTCAGTCGGTCATGGTTGGTCTGGTGGAGTGGTTGACAGTATGTTTGTGTCTTTGTGTTGGGGAGGGGAAGGGGTGGGGTGGGGTGGGGTGGGGTCTGAGCTGGCAGTTTCTGGATGAAGGTGGCAGTTGTGGCTGGTTGGTGCTGTGTCCAGGGTTGGTACTGATGCTGGGGCTGGGACTGGGACTGGGTAAACCAAGGCAAACGATTAATGCGAACTGGAGAGTAACCAGAGTGTATTACCGATTGAAGGAAACCGTTCCTATCCAGTTCTCAGCCTTACTATTCACAGTCATGGTTAAATGAAAAACAAAACTCTATACCGCCGATACATCACACACAGATATTACAGTCCACCGATGCAAATGAAGAGAGACGTTTGATAATTGTCAATACTTTGTAACTTAATTCATTCTTCACACAAACTAAATGCAGGCTGGGCATTATACAGATCACTTCCTGGTTTGTCCCATTCATTCGTAAAAAGTCTCATCTGCAACGCCAGTGTAATGTCAGCAAAGAGGAGAACGATGTTGGCGTAACAGTTCAGCCACCATCAAAAGTCTACTATCAAAATTGGAAACGACGTTTACTTTTCGCTGCCTATTTCTTTGGTTTGGTATCGCCAACCTGCTCCCTACTCTCTCACCACCGCTGGCATGGCACCTAGTTGAACGTGCCACTGAAGTCATGCTTTTGGGCACAGGGTGCGCGCCTCTCATTATTTTGTTTTCAAAGTTATCAGAGACTGTGATAGCACTGTTCATTAAGAATTGACCTGTTTAAAGGAGTGAATGGTTTATGCCAAGTTAGGGTGGATATTTGAAGATGCCCGTTCTCCATGTAGTTGTTTGGTAAAGTACCATGTTGTTAGTTATCCACTGCCACCCAAATGTAATTTTAGCCTATGAAATGTTTATGGCAAAATGTGTATATTCATTGGACAATATAAATTGAGGATCCATGTTACCAGGACAGTAACCTTCACCTTCTTCTTCTTCTTCTTCTTCTTCTTCTTCTTCAGAGTTTAATGGTGATTGGCATCCAATATGTTGCATTATCGCCCCCAACTGGACTATAATATAAATCCATTATACTTTGTGATACAAAAATGTTTAGCCTTACCTCATTCATGGACTGTAACTAGTTTTAGCCCCTACTGATGGCGCTATCTTCTTCCCGGGGGATTTTTGTTAAGAGCCCTGACGCTCGGTCTGAACTTTAACACGCATCGCTTGCGGTACGGTTTTGGAAACAATAAGGAACACGTCTTTCATATCAGCGAGAAATAATTGTCCAAAAAACTAAAAGTTAAACTAGGCTACTACATAACTTTTATAGGGTTAGTGTTCCCACAAGGACATATCTCCATGTTACAGTGTTTGTTTACGAAAGGCAACCACCTGTGCTAATTAGCTATCTAGCGTGATCCTAACACCTGTATGCAAGAGTAGTTTGTCAGCTGTCAGTTTGTCACAGTTTATGGATCTGTGCAAATCTGCTACAATAAGTGTTTATTTTGTATTTGAAAGATTCTATCTCACTGATATGATGTTTCTAAACATTACAACACAGCTTCGGGATTGTAGTTCACATGGAGCCAAGAGTGGGCGAAGCTAACTGCTGAAAACTCCAATAGTATCCAGCCTGGGACTAAAACTACTGTCACTAAAACCAATATTATCACTATCTACTGGCCTTGGTTAACCCCTACCACATACATGAGAACTCCTTTTCTTAACTAGATTCCTTAACTTGCTTTCTTTCCTTTTTCCTAGATTCCTTTCATTTCCTCCTTTCCTAGTTCCCTTTTCTAGCTTCCTCTCCTATTTTCCTAGCTTCCTTTACTCCTTTCCTCACTTAATTCCCTTTCTTCCTTCCCTTTCCTTTCCTCCTTTCCTAGCTCCCTTTCCTAGCTTTCTTTCCTTATTCATTTATGTTCCACCTTTTCTTTCCTAGATTCCGTTCCTAGATTCCTTTCCTTTACTAACTTCCTTTCCTTCCCTTCCTTCCCTTCCTCCTTTTCTTTGTCCTCCTTTCCTATTTCAAGGGAAGGAGGATAGGAAAGGGAGGCAGGGAAGGAAAACAGTTAGGAAACTAGGAAAGGAGGAAAAGAAAGGGAGCTAGGAAAGGAGGAAAGGAAAGGGAGCAAGGAAATAGGAAATTAATCAAGGAAATAAAAGGAGGAAAGGAAGTTAAGAAAGGGGGAAAGGAGCTAGGAATGGAAAGGAGATCAGGAAAGGGAGATAGGGAAGGAGGAAAGGGAGGTAGGGAAGGAAGTTATGAAAGGAGGAAAGGAAGTTAGAAAAGAAAGGGCGCTAGGAAAGGAGGAAAGTAAAGGGAGTGGGGAAGAAGGAAAGGAAGCTAGGAAATAAAAGGAGTTGACATGTATTTGGTTTAACCACGGCCAGTAGATGGCGATCGTATAGGTTTAGTGAAAGGCTAGTGGAGTACGCGCAGTGGTCACCGACAATCTCCATTTCTAGCCGATCGTCAACCCCAGTGAAAAACCCCAAATATAAAGCCTTGCATTCCTACTTTTTTCTGTCTCGCGCTGTTAGCAGTAGGTGCACTTGTTTCAGCTGCCCTGCGCGCCGGGTATGCAAAGCATTTCCATTTTGAACCATTTCATGTGTCTGAAGGTACAAACTCTGCCTACTCGGCATGCCTGGAGAGTAAATCAAGTGCACCTATAAGCCTACCGCTAGTCAATCGGATTGCTCAGATCACCGTGTCTGCAGCTTCCTCGACACACAGCAAACTAAGGGAGTGAACGTTATTCATAATAAGGGTTACATGGAGAAAATCGGACCTCTCTGAAATGAAAATGGATGGTCCTCCCTTCAGCAAAATATATTTTACCTAAACCCTCACTGAACACTTGAAAGGAAAACAAGTGGACTCTCCCCTAAATAATAATTAAAACACAAAGTGGATAGCAGAGAACATGTCTACCATTTACTCCCACTTCCTGGACAGACCAGAGCCTCAGATATGCAGTTTTAGAAATTGTTCTTCGTCCTGTAAGCATTACATGGCAACACAGGAGTTTTGACAGCACACAGGGCTGCAGGCCAGAAGGTTGTGGGTTCGCCGTGGACAGGAGTAGGGGTGGAAAGACCTCCTTCATAGTAAAAGCATTGCATGAATATAACATCATATTTGCAGGTCTGAGAAAATATTTGCTTTTTATAAACATTTCATGTAATTGTAAGTCATTTCAGATATTAGCAGAATCTTTTTTAATACCACACAAATTACCGAAATTACAGGCTAAGAATGGACAGAGAGATAGGCCTATGTGTTCATCTTATCATATTTCTCCAATGCCAAATCATTGTGTCTTGTTTGCAATGAAACTGTCCCTGTTTGCAAATAATTAAATGTGAGACATCATTAGGAATCTGAGCATGCTACTTTCAAAAGTTAGGCCTACCTTGCTACCCCAGACAGAGTAGGCCTACTGACACAGAAAAATGTAAGTTTTAACTGCTGGCTACTCCTCTTCCAACTTGAAAAGGTCACAAGTGCTTCTTTAAAAGCTGTCTTGGTTTAAACATCTTCTAGTGCACAGAAAGTGAATAGCTTAATCAATTGATAGTGACAGAATTAGATTGCTTCCCAAGTAAATTGTCAAATGTTTTTGCTCCTCGGCAAAAGAAGGTTGTAGCTCAGCCTCTGAATGTCAAAGAAATCAAACAATGATATCCCCGTACGCATCGGAGTCACGTCTTTCCCGCGTATTTTAGAGCTTGTTTCTAGCATAAAACATCGCGGACCAAATCACTTTAAATAATCAGATCCGTTTTATTTTCTTCAAAATCTTAAGCTAACAAGCGGTAGGTAGGCCGGTGCTTTTTGCCGTTTTTCTTTAATAAAAAGTAGGCCTGTGGCATACCCTCTCATACCCCCTACACTCGAGTCTTGGTTTTAACTTAACAGCCCTTCACTGACACGGAAGTAGGCTACTTAAAGAGTGCATGGTGAGTGGGGGAATTGACCAACAAATCTATGGATATAGCAGCCTATAGCCTAATTCCGTCTGTCAAACAGGTAAGCCTACCTCATATTTCTTAAATAGGAAGAAATAGGCTCCAACACAAAGCCCTCTTGTTCTTACTAAAGTCTAATTAAAATGAAGACAATGAATAATGCCTACTCGAATTTGCTGACATTCAGCACCATGAGCTCTCCATTTCTGATTGATTGTGCCGCGGCTGCTGCTTCAAGTTTCAGCACCACAATGTAAGTTACTTGAATAAACTCTGGTAAATAGGCCTTCATCATGGGCAAGAAACATATTGTTTTTATTAAAATCAATTATAGTAGTAGCAAGGTATCAAAGTTGACCTCCAGTCCTCCTTCTCATCTTCGCGCTCTCCTTCTCAAACTGAATAGAACATATGCTATAGGCTAGCCCGCATGCAAGATAGGGTATGTTTTGGACGAGGCCTAATCAAAAATTATTTTGGGAAGAAGCATTTGAGTCTCCTCCTGAACTGCCACCTTAGTCCTACACAGCACAGCCATTGGCTAGGCAGCACACAAAACAGTTTTGGATCAGTTTTGATCAGCAAGAGCAGAGCAGAGCAGGCCAGGGCTCAGGGTTGGAATATCCTTTGCGGCTGTTAATGCAGCCTAGTTGTATTTACACCATCCCAGCAGCTACCTCAGAAATATAACTTTGCTCTGTGCTTCTCCGAGCATGCACTTCATAGCCTATAGGCCAGGGGTAGGCAACCCTGGTCCTGGAGTGCCGCAGGCATTTAATGTTTTTGGTTTAACTGACCTGGAAGACCAGGTGTGTTGAATTTAGGCAATCACTGAACTGATCAATTAGCTCAGTTGTTCAGGTGTGGTGCGTAGTTGGAACAAAATCCTGCAGTACCTGCAGAATTCCAGGAACATGGTTACCTACCTCTGCTGTAGGCTATGGATCGTTTGATTGAGACCACAATAAATAGCCTATACTTGCACTTGATATTGCGAAATTTTAATGAGCAACAATTCATGTCTGATCTGGTGATGTGTGACTGGGGGAATGTGTCATCTATCTCTGATTCAGATCAGGCCCTGAATTGTTTTAATTCTCTGTTTAACAATGTAGCTTGTAAGCATGCTCCGTATAAAAAACTATGAGTAAAGGATAGATACACTGCTCAAAAAAATAAAGGGAACACTTAAACAACACAATGTAACTCCAAGTCAATCACACTTCTGTGAAATCAAACTGTCCACTTAGGAAGCAACACTGATTGACAATAAATTTCACATGCTGTTGTGCAAATGGAATAGACAACAGGTGGAAATTATAGGCAATTAGCAAGACACCCCCAATAAAGAAGTGGTTCTGCAGGTGGTGACCACAGACCACTTCTCAGTTCCTATGTTTCCTGGCTGATGTTATGGTCACTTTTGAATGCTGGCGGTGCTTTCACTCTAGTGGTAGCATGAGACGGAGTTTACAACCCACACAAGTGGCTCAGGTAGTGTAGCTCATCAAGGATGGCACATCAATGCGAGCTGTGGCAAGAAGGTTTGCTGTGTCTGTCAGCGTAGTGTCCAGAGCATGGAGGCGCTACCAGGAGACAGGCCAGTACATCAGGAGACGTGGAGGAGGCCGTAGGAGGGCAACAACCCAGCAGCAGGACCGCTACCTCCGCCTTTGTGCAAGGAGGAGCAGGAGGAGCACTGCCAGAGCCCTGCAAAATGACCTCCAGCAGGCCACAAATGTGCATATGTCTGCTCAAACAGTCAGAAACAGACTCCATGAGGGTGGTATGAGGGCCCGACGTCCACAGGTGGGGGTTGTGCTTACAGCCCAACACCGTGCAGGACGTTTGGCATTTGCCAGAGAACACCAAGATTGGCAAATTCGCCACTGGCGCCCTGTGCTCTTCACAGATGAAAGCAGGTTCACACTGAGCACATGTGACAGACGTGACAGAGTCTGGAGACGCCGTGGAGAACGTTCTGCTGCCTGCAACATCCACCAGCATGACCGGTTTGGTGGTGGGTCAGTCATGGTGTGGGGTGGCATTTCTTTGGGGGGCCGCACAGCCCTCCATGTGCTCGCCAGAGGTAGCCTGACTGCCATTAGGTACTGAGATGAGATCCTCAGACCCCTTGTGTGACCATATGCTGGTGCGGTTGGCCCTGGGTTCCTCCTAATGCAAGACAATGCTAGACCTCATGTGGCTGGAGTGTGTCAGCAGTTCCTGCAAGAGGAAGGCATTGATGCTATGGACTGGCCCGCCCGTTCCCCAGACCTGAATCCAATTGAGCACATCTGGGACATCATGTCTCGCTCCATCCACCAACGCCACGTTGCACCACAGACTGTCCAGGAGTTGGCAGATGCTTTAGTCCAGGTCTGGGAGGAGATCCCTCAGGAGACCATCTGCCACCTCATCAGGAGCATGCCCAGGCGTTGTAGGGAGGTCATACAGGCATGTGGAGGCCACACACATTACTGAGCCTCATTTTGACTTGTTTTAAGAACATTACATCAAAGTTGGATCAGCCTGTAGTGTGGTTTTCCACTTTAATTTTGAGGGTGACTCCAAATCCAGACCTCCATGGGTTGATAAATTTGATTTCCATTGATACATTTTGTGTGATTTTGTTGTCAGCACATTCAACTATGTAAAGAAAAAAGTATTTAATAAGATTATTTCATTCATTCAGATCTAGGATGTGTTGTTTAAGTGTTCCCTTTATTTTTTTGAGCAGTGTACAATTCATGCATGGATTGTCAGAAAAATTACAGGAAAGAAATGTAGCTTGGGCTAAGACTAGATTGACTGATACTATGTCTGACCGGCAGTCCTTAAGACATTTGAGAAATAGATTACATTTACATTTACATTTTAGTCATTTAGCAGACGCTCTTATCCAGAGCGACTTACAGTAACCCTGGTAACATGTTATAAACACTGGATGTCTGTTAATAAATTATGGGAATCCTGGGTATCATAGGTAAATATGGTGGAGGTGAAGGAAGAATGGGTGACAACCTTTTCAACTTGGGTGTCATGTTATTAACACTATATTAATAACGCTATATTATGAAATAAAAATGTTGGTGGTGAAAGTAGAGGATTCAAAGTCATGTTTTGGAGTTGTTTGAGAATTTTATATTGAAATAATGGTGGCGGGTCATTCTTGAATTACAGTGCATTTGGAAAGTATTCAGACCCCTTGACTTTTTCCACATTTTGTTATGTTACAGCCTTATTCTAAAATTGATTAAATTGTTTTTTCCCCCTCATTAATCTACACACAATACCCCATAATGACAAAGCAAAAACAGGTTTTTAGAAATGTTTGCAAAAACGGAAGTATCACATTTACATAAGTATTCATACCCTTTACTCAGTACTTTGTTGAAACACCTTTGGCAGCGATTACAGCCTCGAGTCTTCTTCGGTATCACTCTACAAGCTTGGCACACCTGTATTTGGGGAATAGATGTCCATCTCTGGTTAGAAAAGCAAAGTGAACATACAGTACTTCTTGAACTGTGTATCTGAGAATGGTGCGAACTTCCGGAAAGTAGTCAAATCTCAATTTGTAACTTTTTGGGGGACCAGACCAAATTCACATAAAAATGTGAGTTATAGATCTACAGTTGAAGTCGGAAGTTATCTAAGTACACCTTAGCCAAATACATTTAAACTCAGTTTTTCACAATTCCTGACATTTAATCCTAGTAAAAATTCCCTGTCTTCAGTTAGTTAGGATCACCACTTTATTTTAAGAACGTGAAATGTCAGAATATTAGTAGAGTGAATGATTTATTTCAGCTTTTATTTCTTTCATCACATTCCCAGTGGGTCAGAAGTTTACATACACTCAATTAGTATTTGGTAGCATTGCCTTTAAATTGTTTAACTTGGGTCAAACGTTTCAGGTAGCCTTCCACAAGCTTCCCACAATAAGTTGGGTGAATCTTTGCCCATTCCTCCTGACAGAGCTGGTGTAACTGAGTCAGGTTTGTTAGGCCTCCTTGCTTGCACACACTTTTTCAGTTCTGGCCACAAATGTTCTATAGGATTGAGGTCAGGGCTTTGTGATGGCCACTTCAATACCTTGACTTTGTTGTCCTTAAGCCATTTTGCCACAACTTTGGAAGTATGCTTGGGGTCATTGTCCATTTGGAAGACCCATTTGCAACCAAGCTTTAACTTCCTGACTGATGTCTTGAGATGTTGCTTCAATGTATCCACATCATTTTCCTTCCTCATGATGCCATCTATTTTGTGAAGTGCACCAGTCCCTCCTGCAGCAAAGCACCCCCACAGCATGATGCTGCCACCCCGGTGCTTCACGGTTGGGATGGTGTTCTTCGGCTTGCAAGCAACCCCCTTTTTCCTCCAAACATAACGATGGTCATTATGGCCAAACAGTTCTATTTTTGTTTCATCAGACCAGAGGACATTTCTCCAAAAAGTACGATCTTTGTCCCCATGTGCAGTTGCAAACCGTAGTCTTTCTTTTTTATGGCGGTTTTGGAGCAGTGGCTTCTTCCTTGCTGAGCGGCCTTTCAGGTTATGTCAATTTGGACTTGTTTTACTGTGGATATAGATAATTTTGTACCTGTTTCCTCCAGCATCTTTACAAGGTCCTTTGCTGTTGTTCTGGGATTGATTTGCACTTTTTGCACTAAAGTAGGTTCATCTCTAGGAGACAGAACGCATCTCCTTCCTGAGCGGTATGACGGCTGCGCGGTCCCATGGTGTTTATACTTGCGTACTATTGTTTGTACAGATGAACGTGGTACCTTCAGGCGTTTGGAAATTGCTCCCAAGGATGAATCAGACTTGTGGAGGTCTACAATTTTTTTCTGCGGTCTTGGCTGATTTCTTTTGATTTTCCAATGATGTGAAGCAAAGAGGCACTGAGTTTGAAGGTAGGCCTTGAAATAGACTACAGGTACACCTCCAGTTGACTCAAATGATGTCAATTAGCATATCAGATCCTTCTAAAGCAATGACATCATTTTCTGGAATTTTCCAAGCTGTTTAAAGGCACAGTCAATTTAGTGTATGTAAACTTCTGAACCACTGGAATTGTGATATAGTGAATTATAAGTGAAATAATCTGTCTGTAAACAATTGTTGGAAAAATTACTTGTGTCATGCACAAAGTAGATGTCCTAACCGACTTGCCAAAACTATAGTTTGTTAACAAGACATTTGTGGAGTGGTTGAAAAACAAGTTTTAATGACTCCAACCTTAGTGTATGTAAACTTCCGACTTCAACTGTATCATCCTACTTGAAAGCAAGTCTAAGAAGCGGTATAGCTGTTCTATGTGCGCTATTTCTATGCTTCCCATTCTTAAGATTTGTTTTTGCGTCTTTTACTTTCGGTTTTGTACACCAACTTCAAACAGCTGAAACAACAATATTTTTAGTTATGGAAAATGTATTTCACAGCGGTTTAGATGGTACAATGATTCTCTACACTATGCTAGCTTAGTTTGTCACATCAACTGAAATTAAGTGAACTATTAGAGTTTTAGCAACCAGGAAATGGCAGAGCGATTTCTGCATAGTACAACTTTAAATAAAGGTAAAATAGAAAGTTATGTAAGCACAATCTTACTCTGCTTATCTTAATCGCAGTAAGGTCACAATTGAAGTAAGCATACAGTGATTAAAACACCTGGTTTACTGCGCAATCTTTCGGATTATTAGGACGTGTAAACTTCTAAATCAGAGTCCCAGGGGTGTATTTGATCTGTGCATGTGGCAGCACCAGCAGCACCAAGCCTCCCTCTTATGCGCAAGTGAATTGAGTTCGGGAACATTCAAAGTATGCATCTTAGAAATGGTTTTCACATACAAACGTTATGTGTCCAAACTCAGAATTAAATAAGCTTCCCAAAAATAACATAGTCGCTGTGGTAGAACGTTTATTTTGATTGGCTGCATCAAAGTCCCATCAGGTAGCCTGATTTCAGATGTGTCGATGTACAATAAACAGGATTATTAGGGAAATCGTTCTTCTTGCAAAGCACGTCAACTTTTAACTCTGACTATTCACAATAATTGTACTGTGTGCATGTAACTGTACTCCAAGATCCTATTGGCCTATTGTAATCCAACAAGACACTGGAGGTATATCAACACCTCCTTCATAGCCCTACTTATAAGGTTTCTAACCGTGGAGCTGCTTGTTGTCTCTGTTCCTCAGGTCGGTACATAGAGAACCATGGAGTGATCCACAACATGTGGTTCAACACTACGACCCAGGAGAAGAAACAGTACTACATGACCCAGTTTGAGGATTCTTACTGGGACAACGGGAGTCTGCCCATCTGGATAACAGCGCAGAGACAAGTGGGTGCAACACACACACACACACACAGAGAATCTCTCTCTCTCTCTCTCTCTCTCTCTCTCTCTCACTCACACACTCACCTTCCTTAATTCCTTCCTTGCCCATATTGGGTCTGAAGCAATAAGTGTAATAAAATAAAGTTAGAATCATTTAGAATCCTTCCTCACCCGTGCAGGGTCTGAAGGCGGGCTCCCTCCACTTCCCTGGCACGGCCGCAACCTACAAAGGTGAGAGGGTCAAGGTGAGCCAGGTCGAACCTCGTTTCTACGAGTACAACAATGAGACGGAATGGAGAATCGACATCGACAAGGTGATTGGTCAGTGGTTCTCAGAGGAGGACCTGGACTTTGTGTCTTTGTACTTCGGTGAACCAGACGGAACAGGACACAAGTACGGCCCGGATTCCCCGGAACGCCGGGAGATGGTGCGACAGGTGGACCGGACCGTGGGATACATCCGGGATACGGCCCGGAATCACGGCCTCTCCAACCGGCTCAACATCATCATCACGGCCGATCATGGAATGACCACCGTCCTAAGGAATGGTCTGGTCGACGAGATCATCCTATCTGAGATTCCGGGATTTGACTTCCGGGATATCAAGTTTCACCTGGTGGACTACGGGCCATCAGGAATGCTTCTGCCCAGAGAGGGAATGCTGGAGAAGGTGTACCAAGCCCTGAAAGGAGGCCACCCTCACTTGCATGTGTATAAGAAGGAGGATATGCCTGCCAGACTTCACTATAGTAACCACCCTCGCCTCCTGCCCCTGATTATATTCGCTGATCGAGGATACGTCATCAATGGGGTGAGTGAGCAGAAACAGTGTCCTAACAGTGAGCAGAAACAGTGTCCTAACAGTGAGCAGAAACAGTGTCCTAACAGTGAGCCGAAACAGTGTCCTAACACAGTCCCCCTCCCCCACCCCCACCACCTCTTCATACTGCCTTGATGGCATGCATTGAAGTTCTGTTACCAAAATTAACTGCAATCTCTGCATTTGGACTAAAACCCTATAAGCTCTCTTTCATTATCGTCCCTACAGTTCTTCCCAGTCCAGTTCAACAAGGGAGAGCACGGCTATGATAACCAGGTGATGGACATGAAGCCGTTCTTCAGAGCCGTGGGGCCTGACTTCCAGAAGAACTTGGTGGTGGGACCCTTCGAGACAGTCAATGTGTACCCGCTGATGTGTCACCTCCTGGGCATCACACCGGAGGTCAACGATGGGTCCCTGGAGGTCACCCGCCAGATGCTGGTCCCCAAGAAGGACCTGGGATCCTATGAGAGTAAGCCTTTTAGTTTATAATTTATTGAGAATGTGCAGAGCAACCTAGGATACTCAAACAGAATTATAAACTTGTCCTATGCCCCATTACCTTGTCCTAGGGTTTACCCACTGAATTACAGTATATTTCTCTTCTGGCTTCATAATAGAGAAACATCTTTTAATCACATGAAAGTGAGCCTTTATTTGTCATCAACTGTTAACAGGATAGTCATCAATATTCAAAAAAGCTTGAATGTTGAGAGAATGAATGTAAGCTTGACAGAATCATAAACTGTATTTTTCTTACACCCCATTGCTTAAGTTTACCCAGGCAATTATATTACCCCTATCTCACATTGTTAAACCTTTGCCTTCATAGAGAAACATGTTTTCGAATACACCAGGACATCAGTAAGAAGTTCCAAAAGGACTATCCCATAATAGCGATCTGGCCAATGCTAGTTCTAAGCCCTGCCTTGAACCCTTGCAGATTTAGCTGATAAACCTATGATAACAGATTCTGATAATAAATGTTGCAGAAACCACAAGATCCATATCTTATTTTATGCCTTTATTGGAGATCATAATCTAACAGGATGATTAGCATGTTATTGTGTCCTATCAACAGACAGATTATAGTACATATTGTTATAAAGATGGATTCAGATATGTCTCTGAAATTACAAAAAGGTTAAAGTTTGATAGTGTGTGTTTGTGTGTTATCGGTGTCTCTGTGTGGCATGCGGGTGTTCCTGTGTGTGGGTATCCATTGGTACACACCCAGAATATACCTGCTGTATTCAGCCCTGCTTTTCCCTGCTTTTCCTGCCAGTACTCTGTACTTTGAGTGTCTGTCTTATCTGTAAATGTTTTCCAGACAGGGATATCCAGTGGGACGTCTTCATCGGCCTGTCATCGGTCGCTGGTTTCCTGGCTCTGGTGTTTGTTGTCTCCACAGCTCACGCCATGTTGAAAAGGACCAAAATGAACAGGAGGTAGGCTACAGTATTAGAATGTCCTTCTCAGAGGATAATACCTTCTATTCTAATCTATATCAGCATCATCTTTACATGACTACCACAAGTCCATTTCCTCTTCGTCTGTAGTAATGACTACCATCTTGTCCTCTCTACGTCTGTAGTAATGACTACCATCTTGTCCTCTCCACGTCTGTAGTACTGACTACCATCTTGTCCTCTCCACGTCTGTAGTACTGACTACCATCTTGTCCTCTCTACGTCTGTAGTACTGACTACCATCTTGTCCTCTCCACGTCTGTAGTACTGACTACCATCTTGTCCTCTCCACGTCTGTAGTACTGACTACCATCTTGTCCTCTCACTCTCTCTTCCAGATCTAAAGTCACCAAGGAGGATCTCAAAGAAAAAGAGGCCAATATTAAACAAACTTCCTTTTAAAGGCTATGGACTTTGTGGGCGGTCATTTGTTTAGCAAAGTTATTGGTCTCCTGCAAAAAAATGGTGATTTGTGTGCTAAAATCCTAATAGTGGAGGTGCATAAAGATGGCAGCTCCCATGTATTTACCACAAATACCTCGTTTGCTAAATTCGCCCTGTTGTACATTGCTCTCCGTTACTCTTTTTTTTGTATCGGCATTAGCGCAGTATACTGTACATGATCCCGATTCTAGTTCCAGGACGGCGGCAATAAAAAAAAAAAATGAGAAAGTAGATTGTGCTGATTTACTGGCAAATTGAACCATGTTGTGCGCCAAAGTTTAAGAACTTAAAAAAATATACAGTTCTTCAAAGTACAAATTACAAATATCTGGCACAAATATTTGTTAAGCAAATTATCAGCAATCAACAACTTACATCAGTACATCACACACATCTACCGCAAAACAAAACACAAAGGTAAAACAAGAAAATATCTTAAATACATATTAATAATAATAATAATAATAATAAAGTGCAATTTGTATTCACTCAAAAAATCGCATTATAATGATTCAAGATGTCATTGTTGTATTATTAACTAGGGATAATGTCTTAACTAAATGATTAAATTCAATCAGAAGTATTTTAAATGTTGGTATTATTTCTGGAATTGTTGTTTGTGTAGAAAGTATTTGGCAACAAGAATAAAAATATTCACAATAATTTTAATGGTCTTGTCATCATTGAAATAGTAACATACAATATCCTTCATGTAAAAAACATGGCTAGTGTTCAAAAAGCTAAATATGTACTCTGCAAGGTTTTCCCAAAAGTCGATCACAGATTCACATTCTTAGAACAAGTGTGTAAGATTTACCTTCGTTTTTTTTTTTTTGGGGGGGGGGGGGGGGGGGGGGACACAGATATCATCAACATCAAGAAATTTGGACAACATGGAATTACATGAATATACAGTATCTGATGTAGAATCTTAAAGTGCACTTCCTTACATTTGTTTGGTATACAGTATTTGTAAGGCACCAACCAAGCTTTCTTCCAGACAATGTCAGAAATAAACATGTTCCCCCAAAACAATTCCTCTAGGCGTAAATTGGTTCCTTGAATGGAACATTTGTCTTATGTATTTGTTACAACAAGATTTCTCAAGTAAGCCCACACCTTCCAGGCTGAGTTCTGGATAAGCTCTGTGATCATCACCAAAGCTAAGATGATTTTTCATTAGTGTAGTCAGACCACTGGGAATAGAAATAAACTCTCTGAAAGGTATTGGAAACAGATTCAGTGTTATGAATTGTTTGTATGAAAGAATATTACCCCTGTTGTCGAACACATCAAGAACAAAGTTAATATTTATTTCATGCCAGTTAGGGTAGAACAATACAGTTCTGTCTGAATTATTCCACATAAGAGCCTTATGGGGGGAAAATGTGTGCAAAAAACATTTCCCGGGACATTAAAGCTTGTTGGTGAAACCTAGCCAATTTAGAGGGTAATCTTTCAGGAAGATAATTATATTTCAGTACAAATGTAAGATTTCCCAATTTATTAAACACATTGTTTGGAATGAAATTGTCACGACTTCCTCCGAAGCTGCCTCCCCTCCTTGTTCGGGCAGGCTTCGGTGTTCGTCGTCACCGGCCTTCTAGCCACTGCCGCTCCTCATCTCATCATTCCATTTGTTTTGTCTTGTTTATTACACACACCTGGTTCATATCCCCTCATCAGTACTGGTATAAGTGTTCCCTCTGCCCCCTTGTCTTTGAGTGTGATTGTTTATTGTGGAGGGTAGAGAAGCTCGGTGGAGCTCCGTGTATTTTGTATCGCCGGGATATTTCCCCGTGTGCCTTGTTATTTCCAGTGTGCCTGTTTTGCGCACTGGAGTGTTTTGACGCATTTCTGCGTAACTCTGTGCTTCGGAATAAATCATTTTATTTTGTGATTTAACCTCCTGCGCATGACTCCTTCAGAATCACTTATCACAGAAATACCAGATTGATTCTGTATTGACCAAACATATTTTCAACCAATTGACCTTGAACGTGTTACTTATGCCAACAAAATCCAATATTTCCAGACCTCCTTCAGATCTCTTATTTGAGAGGATAGACTTTTTCAGTTTGTGAGACTTATTTTTTCAGATAAAGTCAAGAAAGGTCTTGTTAATCTCTTTACAGGTAGAGGGATTTACAAACAAAGACAATGAGGGGTACACAAAGTGAGACAGTCCATCTGCCTTGGACAGAAGCACTAGATAGATCCCTTTGTAGCCATATACAGTGGGGAGAACAAGTATTTGATACACTGCTGATTTTGCAGGTTTTCCTACTTACAAAGCACGTAGAGGTCTGTAATTTTTATCATAGGTACACTTCAACTGTGAGAGACGGAATCTAAAACAAAAATCCAGAAAATCACATTGTATGATTTTTAAGTAATTAATTTGCATTTTATTGCATGACATACGTATTTGATACATCAGAAAAGCAGAACTTAATATTTGGTACAGAAACCTTTGTTTGCAATTACAGAGATCATATGTTTCCTGTAGGTCTTGACCAGGTTTGCACACACTGCAGCAGGGATTTTGGCCCACTCCTCCATACAGACCTTCTCCAGATCCTTCAGGTTTCGGGGCTGTCGCTGGGCAATACGGACTTTCAGCTCCCTCCAATGATTTTCTATTGGGTTCAGGTCTGGAGACTGGCTAGGCCACTCCAGGACCTTGAGATGCTTCTTATGGAGCCACTCCTTAGTTGCCCTGGCTGTGTGTTTCGGGTCGTTGTCATGCTGGAAGACCCAGCCATGACCCATCTTCAATGCTCTTACTGAGGGAAGGAGGTGGTTGGCCAAGTTCTCGCGACACATGGCCCCATCCATCCTCCCCTCAATACGGTGCAGTCGTCCTGTCCTCTTTGCAGAAAAGCATCCCCAAAGAATGATGTTTCCACCTCCATGCTTCACGGTTGGGATGGTGTTCTTGGGGTTGTACTCATCCTTCTTCTTCCTCCAAACACGGCGAGTGGAGTTTAGACCAAAAAGTTCTATTTTTGTCTCATCAGACCACATGACCTTCTCCCATTCCTCCTCTGGATCATCCAGATGGTCATTGGCAAACTTCAGACGGGCCTGGACATGCGCTGGCTTGAGCAAGGGGGACCTTGCGTGTGCTGCAGGATTTTAATCCATGACGGTGTAGTGTGTTACTAATGGTTTTCTTTGAGACTGTGGTCCCAGCTCTCTTCAGGTCATTGACCAGGTCCTGCCGTGTAGTTCTGGGCTGATCCCTCACCTTCCTCATGATCATTGATGCCCCACGAGGTGAGGGCCCCAGACCGAGGGTGATTGACCGTCATCTTGAACTTCTTCCATTTTCTAATAATTGCGCCAACAGTTGTTGCCTTCTCACCAAGCTGTTTGCCGATTGTCCTGTAGCCCATCCCAGCCTTGTGCAGGTCTACAATTTTATCCCTGATGTCCTTACACAGCTCTCTGGTCTTGGCCATTGTGGAGAGGTTGGAGTCTGTTTGATTGAGTGTGTGGACAGGTGTCTTTTATACAGGTAATGAGTTCAAACAGGTGCAGTTAATACAGGTAATGAGTGGAGAACAGGAGGGCTTCTTAAAGAAAAACGAACAGGTCTGTGAGAGCCAGAATTCTTACTGGTTGGTAGGTGATCAAATACTTATGTCATGCAATAAAATGCAAATTAATTTCTTAAAAATCATACAATGTGAATTTCTGGATTTTTGTTTTAGATTCTGTCTCTCACAGTTGAAGTGTACCTATGATAAAAATTACAGACCTCTACATGCTTTGTAAGTAGGAAAACCTGCAAAATCGGCAGTGTATCAAATACTTGTTCTCCCCACTGTATTAAATATTTTTTATTTTATTTTATTTTAGGAGAGAAATTCATATGTTGTCTGACTAAGTGATTTTTAGACACGTTCCTAAATATTTAACGCAGTCCTTTACAATAATATGTTCTATTTCTTTATCATCAGAGTCATATAAACATAAGATTTCACATTTAGAAACATTACGTTTTAATCCAGATGCAATAGAGAATGCAGCGATGGCATTAAGGCCATGGACGACCTGGTCTTCATCTTTTTTTTTTAAGCCAGCTGGTAAATATTGATTTCTCAGTCAAAAAGGTACAGTATAAGCCATGCAAATTTGCATTATTCAGAATATCTAGAGATAGAAGTTCCACTACCACAATGAATAAAAAAGGGTGAAATTGGACATCCCTGTCGTACACGTCTGTTGATACTGAATCTTTTGGATGTATTAAGGTTTAGTATCACAGAACTATATCTTTGTAAAATATGCGAATGACTTTGATAACATTTTCACCGAAACCAAACATTTTCAGAGACCGAAAGATAAATTAATGTTCAATTGTGTCAAAGCCTTTACAGAAGTCTAAAAAAATAAAAATAACAGCATCTGAGTCAACTGCATCTGAATAATCCAAAAGGTCCAAGACTAAATGAATGTTGGAACTTATGTGATACCCCTTCATAAAGCCTGCTTGAGTCTCATTTATAATTGGATCTATTCCTTTCTTTCTTTCTTTTTTTTTTTGTCATAAACCAGAGCAATCCATTTTTTATCAATATTTTAAAAAGTGATTGGTCTCCAATTGTCAATGAGATAGAGGTCTTTATCAGGCTTCGGAATCAGTGAGATAAGGCCCTGCTTCATAATGGAAACCATTTAACCATTTTCAATGCAATCTTGAAACATATAAAAAGTAGGCTCTTCTAGTAACTCCCAAAATCACCTATAAAATTCAACTGATAGGCCTTCAGGGCCAGGTGATTTCCATTTTTTTCATTGAATTCAAAGCCTCTTTAATCTCCTCAGTTGACACAGGTGATACGCAAACTGTGTGGAATTCATCCTCAATCACAGGGACATAGTTCTGAATGTGGCGAATGTAGCTTTCACAACCATCTTCCTGAAATTGTGAGTTGTAAAGAATTGCATAAAAGGAAACGACAAACATTTATATTTCAGCGGGATCTTTTCATAATACATCATTAATTTTGAGTGCCGTTATAGATTTTCTTTTGTGGTTTTTATTTTCAAGTGCAAAGAAATAACTGGTGTTTCTTCCACCCACTTCAATCCATTTTGCTCGTGATCTGACAAAAGCACCCTTTGCCAGACCTGTGTAAAACTGTTCTTACTCAAGTACAGATTTAAGTCCAGACTCTTCTTCTTGAGATAACGTCTCTTTCTTTAGAAGACTGTCAAGATTGCTCTTTTTTTCCTTTCTCTAAGGTGCTTCAACTCTTTGACACATTTAATTGCTAAAACTCTGACTTTATATTTAAAGAATTCCCATTTACTTTCATGACCCAAGTCACAGAAAAAAAAGTATCTCACAGAAATAACTTTGGCTAACGATTTGATGTTTCCATTGGAAACAGGATCTTTAAGAAGTGTGTTGTTTCATTTCTAATAGCCTTGAATACCCTTAGATTTTTTCACAGCTTGTAAAATCAGGGAAATGAAATTATGATCAGAAAAGGGAGCAAATTGATGATCTACATACAGTATATAACAAGTTGTAACAAAGAGGGGGAAATTAGGAATAAATCTATTCTCGATTTTTGTGACATAGTTATGTTGGTCCAGGTATGACCCCTTTCTTCCGGATTGAAATAACGTCAGGCATCAAAAACAGAGAGATCATTGCATAATGTTGTGATAATATTGCTATTTTGAAAGCTTTGACTCATTCTAGGAGGAAAACGATCAGCATAGTCATCATTCTGTCGTGTTCTGCCCATTCAACTTGCCAAAAACTAACTCTAAACTTGCCATATGTCGTCAGGTGTTTTGTTCAAATCCCCTGAGAGAATTAGAAGAGCCTCTGAGTATTTGTTGCATACATCCTGTCATTTTCTGGAAAGCTGAGCAAAAAGGATCTTATGTGGAGCATGTAACTTATGTCAATACACATTACGAATGATATTTTACATTTTAGCAGACGCTCTTATCCAGAACGACTTACATGAGCAATTAGGGTTAAGTGCCTTGCTCAAGGGCACATCGACAGATTTTTCACCTAGTCGGCTCGGGGATTAGAACCAGCGACCTTTCATAGTTACTATGGCCCATCTCCCTTCCTGCAGAATGGTTTGAGCCATGACTGAGATAGGCCATGTTTCCCCCTTCTAAAATGTCACTTTCACACGAGGGAGTTTCCTGAAGGACAAATTCTGCATTGCTTTCCTTTTTGTAAGATCTCTCAAAACCCTAACATTCAGGCTAACGACAATGAGTTGAAAACAAACTCCTGCATAAAACAAGGAGAAAGACACAAACAAGACAACAGATGAACAATGAAACAAACAGTAAACTTTTAGTGGGTTACTCCGACGGAAAACTACACTCAACTGAGGTAGCAGTGGTTAACAGTTGTTGTCGTCTATTTTTTTTTTTTTTTGGGGGGGGGGGGACAGACAAACACCTCAAACTTCATCTGTCCATAACACTTTTTTTCCAATCTTCCTCTGTCCTGTGTTCTTTTGCCCATCTTAATATTTTATTTTTATTGGCCAGTCTGAGATATGGCTTTTTCTTTGCAACTCTGCCTAGAAGGTCAGCATCCCGGAGTCGCCTCTTCACTGTTGACGTTGAGACTGGTGTTTTGCGGGTTCTATTTAATGAAGCTGCCAGTTGACGACCTGTGAGGTGCCTGTTTCTCAAACTAGACACTAATGTATTTGTCCTCTTGCTCAGTTGTGCACCGGGGCCTCCCACTCCTCTTTCTATTCTGGTTAGAGCCAGTTTGCGCTGTTCTGTGAAGGGAGTAGTACACAGCGTTGTACGAGATCTTCAGTTTCTTGGCAATTTCTCGCATAGAATAGTCTTCATTTCTCAGAACAAGAATAGACTGACGAGTTTCAGAAGAAAGTTATTTGTTTTTGGCCATTTTGAGCCTGTAATCGAACCCACAATTGCTGATGCTCCAGATACCCAACTAATCTCAAGAAGGCCAGTTGTATTGCTTCTTTAATCAGCACAAAAGTTTTCAGCTGTGCTAACATAATTGCAAAAGGGTTTTGTAATGATCAATTAGCCTTTAAAAATGATAAACTTGGATTAGCAAACACAATATGCCATTGGAACACAGGACTGATGGTTGCTGATAATGGGCCTCTGTACGCCTATGTAGATATTCCTTTAAAAATCAGCCGTTTCCAGCTACAATAGCCATTTACAACATGAACAATATCTACACTGTATTTCTGATCAATTTGATGTTATTTTAATGGACAAAAACAAAGATTTTCTTTCGGGAAAAAAAAGGAAATGTCTAAGTGACCCCAAACTTTTGAACTGTAGTGTATATATACACTGCTCAAAAAACTAAAGGGAACACTTAAACAACACATCCTAGATCTGAATGAATGAAATAATCTTATTAAATACTTTTTTCTTTACATAGTTGAATGTGCTGACAACAAAATCACACAAAAATTATCAATGGAAATCAAATTTATCAACCCATGGAGGTCTGGATTTGGAGTCACCCTCAAAATTAAAGTGGAAAACCACACTACAGGCTGATCCAACTTTGATGTAATGTCCTTAAAACAAGTCAAAATGAGGCTCAGTAGTGTGTGTGGCCTCCACGTGCCTGTATGACCTCCCTACAACGCCTGGGTATGCTCCTGATGAGGTGGCGGATGGTCTCCTGAGGGATCTCCTCCCAGACCTGGACTAAAGCATCTGCCAACTCCTGGACAGTCTGTGGTGCAACGTGGCGTTGGTGGATGGAGCGAGACATGATGTCCCAGATGTGCTCAATTGGATTCAGGTCTGGGGAACGGGCGGGCCAGTCCATAGCATCAATGCCTTCCTCTTGCAGGAACTGCTGACACACTCCAGCCACATGAGGTCTAGCATTGTCTTGCATTAGGAGGAACCCAGGGCCAACCGCACCAGCATATGGTCTCACAAGGGGTCTGAGGATCTCATCTCGGTACCTAATGGCAGTCAGGCTACCTCTGGCGAGCACATGGAGGGCTATGCGGCCCCCCAAAGAAATGCCACCCCACACCATGACTGACCCACCGCCAAACCGGTCATGCTGGAGGATGTTGCAGGCAGCAGAACGTTCTCCACAGCGTCTCCAGACTCTGTCACGTCTGTCACATGTGCTCAGTGTGAACCTGCTTTCATCTGTGAAGAGCACAGGGCGCCAGTGGTGAATTTGCCAATCTTGGTGTTCTCTGGCAAATGCCAAACGTCCTGCACGGTGTTGGGCTGTAAGCACAACCCCACCTGTGGACGTCGGGCCCTCATACCACGCTCATGGAGTCTGTTTCTGACCGTTTGAGCAGACACATGCACATTTGTGGCCTGCTGGAGGTCATTTTGCAGGGCTCTGGCAGTGCTCCTCCTGCTCCTCCTTGCACAAAGGCGGAGGTAGTGGTCCTGCTGCTGGGTTGTTGCCCTCCTACGGCCACGTCTCCTGATGTACTGGCCTGTCTCCTGGTAGCGCCTCCATGCTCTGGACACTACGCTGACAGACACAGCAAACCTTCTTGCCACAGCTCGCATTGATGTGCCATCCTGGATGAGCTGCACTACCTGAGCCACTTGTGTGGGTTGTAGACTCCGTCTCATGCTACCACTAGAGTGAAAGCACCGCCAGCATTCAAAAGTGACCAAAACATCAGCCAGGAAGCATAGGAACTGAACCACTTCTTTATTGGGGGTGTCTTGCTAATTGCCTATAATTTCCACCTGTTGTCTATTCCATTTGCACAACAGCATGTGAAATTTATTGTCAATCAGTGTTGCTTCCTAAGTGGACTGTTTGATTTCACAGAAGTGTGATTGACTTGGAGTTACATTGTGTTGTTTAAGTGTTCCCTTTATTTATTTTTTTGAGCAGTGTATATATATATATTAGCTAAACAGGTGGGGCAGACCTGAATTACGGGTTGCCACTGCTAATGTTACTGTCCCCACTACAACAACTAAATACTTAATGTAATTTTGTCCTTGAAACATTTAATTGAAATACTGTAGAATTCCATTCATTCCTATGGAGGACTGCTCCTACTGGGGAGTGCCAATATGGCCAACCGGTGGCTTAAAAGCCTTTCCATGGCCAATACATAGCATAATATAATATAATAATATGCCATTTAGCAGACGCTTTTATCCAAAGCAACTTACAGTCATGTGTGCATACATTATGTATGGGTGGTCCCGGGGGAATCGAACCCACAACCCTGGCGTTGCAAGCGCCATACTCTACCAACTGAGCTACACGGGGCCTATCATGTATTGATGATGGTCCTCTGTAGCTCAATTGGTAGAGCATGGCGCTTGTAACGCCAGGGTTGTGGGTTCGATTCCCACGGGGGCCAGTATGTACTAACTGTAAGTCGCTCTGGATAAGAGCGTCTGCTAACTTACTAAAATGTAATGATTTATATGCATTATTGATCGTAGCCATACATGCCTTATCGTTTTTGTCATTGTGACAACTGATTTGTCTCTAGCTATCTAAATGCCGTCCTACTTGGTGTTAAGGGTGTGTTTTTTAGCATTAGCTGGCTAGCTAGCTTCGTTGAAGGAAACGGTCGTTGCTAGTTATCTCAGCCACAAAGTCATAAACCCCGCCTATTTCGACAATATATCTTCTTAAAATGTGATTTTAAACCTAACATTAACCACACTGCTAACCTTATGCCAAACCTTGACCTTAAATTTCAGAGCAAAAAGCTAAAAAAAATATATATATATATATTTAGGATATAGACCATTTTTACGTTGTGGCTGTGGTAACTAGTGGACACCGACGTAAACTAGCTAGCTAGCTAGCAAAGTCATCTGATGTCTAGCTAGACAACCGATCCACAAACTATAAAGTATACGCAATGTTCTTCTGAGAAATAGATTTGTTTACCAGTCGATTCAATAGCTGCACAGAGTGGCGGGGATGCTGAATGAAAATGGGAAATATTTTTGCCAGAAAGAGACGCACGCGAGTCACAGAGCAGGACAGGGCAGTTTTGGTAAGTAGCATAGCTACTGTAGCAAGTCAGTCTGCTAACATAACTAGTTAACAACATGTTCCAGTTTGCTGTCTACCCGGTTAGATAGGGAACCATTTCATAATGTATACGTTAGGCCTAAAGTAAGTTAGCTAGGAGTGCGGGATAGGGGCAGTCTGACAACCCATACTAGCCAGGGCTAACAACACACTGTTCTGTACTGCAAAGCTAGACAGCAAACTGAAGCGATTTAGTGTTGAAACAAGTGGTCTTCCAACAATTGCATTAAAATGTCTGTCTTCTCAATTCCAGCAACTGAAACAGCAGAGAGATAAATTAAAGCAGTACCAGAAGAGAATCACCATGCAGCTGGAGAAGGAGAGGAATCTGGCCAAGCAGCTGTTGAACGATGGCAAGAAAGAGTAAGGAGTTGCTTCTCACCAGAAATGTTATATAATGTGTGACTGCATTGTTCATTAATAAGACCGGATCTGCCTAAAGTGAAGGTTGTCACTTTAAAGCACTTGAGATTGACAGCTGTCATGCACATAGACCATATATAAATATACTCTGTTAACTACTAAATTAGGACATTATATTTGTTGTCATTGTATTGAATCTTCTCATATTTCTGTATTTTGTTTTCAAACAGGAAGGCCCTCCTCTTGCTCAAAAAGAAGAGATACCAGGACCAGCTCCTGGACAAGACAGAAAACCAGATAAGCAACCTGGAACACATGGTAAATACCTGACATATTTGTCAAACATTCTCTCACTCACTAACTCACACCACCAGGAATAGTAGAAAATGGTAATCGTGGGGTGTATAGACTCATTTCCCTGCCGCGTCATTAGAAGTTGCGCGTGCAGTTCCTCATCAGAAACCGTGTTGTTTACATATGTCGCGTTCAAAACAACTAGGAACTCGGAAATCTCAGACTTCAGTGCGTTCAAGACAGCTGGGAACTCGGGGGGGAAAAATCGAACTCCGACTGGGAAAATTGTTTTGGAACGGTCATCCAAATTGGAATCCCAAGTCGGGAACTCGGGCAACTTTCTAGAGCTCCGTCTTTCTGACCTGAAGATCACTGACGTCATGATTTGACCTCGTTTTTCCCCCAGAGTTCCCAGTTGTCTTGAAAGCACCACTAGCAGTGCATACGATCACATGCAACTTCAAATGCGGCTCTTGCAAGTTAAACAAACACGTAATCAGATGGTTATCGTCTACGACATTGCAGATGTCATCAGAGCACAGGAGGTTGATGGCACCTTAATTGGGGAGGAAGGGTTTGTGGTAATGGCAGGAGCGGAATAGGTGAAATGGTATCAAAAACATGGTTTGATGCCATTCCATTCGCTCCGTTCCAGCCATTATTCTGAGCCGTCCTCCCCTCAGCAGCCTCCACTGCATCAGAGGGTTGATTACCTAGCAAGCCAGTGAGGCAAGGTGAAATATAACAAATAGAGCTAGATAAAGCCAGAAAAAGTATATATGTGTTGATCATAGCTATAGCCATCAGTCTTGCGTGTTTTCATGGTCATCACTCACTCACTGTTAAGTTTGTCGAGGTCCCAACTCAAAAGTGATGTTTGATGGTAAACAGAAAATGTCTCTTCATTAGTCGGACACTGTTGCAAAAACATTTTGCAACGGAAAACCTTTACTTAAAACGGGAAATGCTTTGCAACAAAAACAAGAGTTTCTATTGGTAAATTTAGGTAGGTTCCTCCCCGTTTGCTTCCACTTGGTTCTGTTTGGTTTCTAGTAAATACACCCCTGTACTCAACTAATGCCTTCTGATCTTGTTGTTTTCTTTAGTGTCAAGACATTGAGTTTGCCCAGATTGAGATGAAGGTCATTGAAGGCCTTAAAGTTGGAAACGACTGCCTGAAGTCATTGCATGAGGTACGCTATGTGAGGGTATCAGAGAGCTATGTTTGATCTCTATGCAACTTCCCTATGACCCGATAAGTAGCATACTGTATGTCTATCTTTTCCATAAGCCATCAGTAAGATAAATAGGTTGCTTACCTTCAGTGCATCTGCAATCCAAATAATATAGCATTCCGCATGGATATGCCGTGAATAAAACATTGGCTTTCCTGTACTTACTGTTTGTTCTTTCGTATCAGGCGATGTCCATCGAGGATGTGGAGAGAATTATGGATGAGACCCAAGAAGGCATAGAATACCAGAGGGTAAGGTCCCCACTGTTTGTTTTTACAGAAGCATTGATATCTTATTGAAATTACTGTATTTTGTTGATATTTATTTGTACCTTTATCTCTGTACAGGAAATAGATGAGATGCTGGCAGGTTCCCTGACACAGGAGGACGAAGATGCTGTTCTGGCTGAACTGGAGGCCATCACTCAGGTCAGTCTGAATGACTCAACAACACTGGCTGGCCACCAACTATTGTCATAGGACTCCGTTGACCTGAGGCATGGCTGTAGACTCCTAACACACAGTTTGTCCTATGGCATCTAACCGTTGAACACAAGTTTGTGATTTTATCACACAGTGACTGACTAGCCTCAAATCAACCCTTGTGTTCAACAGTTAAAGATGCCTTATCAGAGTCTACAGCCATTTCTCAAGGCAAGGGACTGTGTCACTCTGGATAGTATCACTTCTCTGGTTCCTTACCTGATTTCTCCCCGCCTTACAGCGACAGACGAGAGACAACACATTCCCTTTCGAGAGTCTTGTTCTTTTTTGACTTCCCTTTCTGTCTGTTGTTTTTGTGTGTTTAGGGAGAGCTTGACCTACCAGAGGTACCTGACGATTCCCTGCCTGACATCCCGGAGGCAGCTGAGGAAGAACCAAAGCCAGGTCAAGGTAGGTCTCCTCAGATGTGGCGTCATACTGAATTACAAATATTTGTGTCTTATGTTGAGAGAATGATATGAATTCAGATGTAGGTTAAACACTTCAGCAGTGGTAATAGACATTACATGAGGACTAAAGTGTCATTCAGAGTCTGTCTGGTTTTCTTCATTTCAGAGAGGGAGAGGCCGAGGAAGAAGCAGGACAGAGAGATGTTGGCTGTCTAGGGGTGTGTGTTCGCCAGGTGACTCTGTGGGTCTTGGTACGCTGGCCGCTATATCCCCCTCATAGGGGTCTCATGCCCCAACCACCACACCCACAGAAATATTATCTTCACCATCTCTTCCAGTCCCTCGCCTCCAAGACTGAAGTTCCTGGTGCCCTGCTAAGCCTTGGCCTTGTGAGCCCAACTACTGCTTTCTAGGCCTCCTCTGGATTCAACTACCCAATCACTCCAACCATGGACATGGACTTTATTTTTCAGATCATTGCCTGCAGGTTCTCTCTTATTTTTTGTTCATGTTTAGGGCCTTTTTAGGCACATAATGAAGAAATTAGTGGTTTGATTGAGATAATATTGTGCCTAAGTCCCGTGACAGGTGTGGTTTTTTTAAATCTTCTGTGAACGGACAAATGATGTGATTAACGGAGAAATGAATGCATGTGTCACTTTTTAATTTCTTTATTACTTTTCAACCTTTTGTGGCTCAGGCCTACTAGCTGACCACAGAGCACATTCTCTTTGGGAGGAATAGACATGTAGACTATCTTTAAAAATCATTACTTTTGGGACGGTTTTCATAATCTTGCCTAGTCTTAGTTTAAAATGTCTTGATTCCTGCCAAACTGTTAAGAATGGATTTGACTTTTGGTTTCAACTTGTTGATTTGGGACCGAATCCTTATAATAGTACTGACCTATTTGCTAAAGCCGCCATTTCATGTATATTCTATATTCTTCCTCGCTGTGCAACAGCTTAACTAATCTAACGCTCCGGGTCCCCTTGGCTTGGGGATTAGTTCAGTGTCATTGGAGAAAGGAAGGGCTAATTGTATTGTCAGTGGGCTTGCTAACTTAACTCTGTATCCCAGACCGACAACACCAGACAACGCTGATGTTATTATGGGATGCCTAGAAATGACTATGAATTCAGTCCAAGACAACCTGACAGAGCCTGATGTCCTAGCTATCTATCCAGTGAGTATTATGATATCATATTGGGTCTGTTTTTACTATGAAGTGTGATATTGGGTTGTTAGCTAAAATATTTTACTTGCATATCATGATATTGGGTTGTTAGCTGTCTGGATTTGTAATATATTACTGGCATATCATATCATGATATTGGCCTGTTGGCTGTCTGCATCTGTAATATTTTACTGGCATATCATATCATGATATTGGCCTGTTGGCTGTCTGCATCTGTAATATTTTACTGGCATATCATATCATGATCTTGGGCTGTTAGCTGTTAGCTGTCTGGGTCCTTAATATTTTACTGGCATATCATATCTCTTAGAGCATTAGGTAATTATTTCTTTATCTGAAATGGAGGGCCTAAATATAAACGATAAGCACTAGCCATATTTGATAGAATATGTAAATGGCCCACAGACCACTTATGTATAGTGTAAAGTATTACTGTACTGTAAGAGTCTCTGAGACAGTGACACTCTCTTGATAATGACCGTGGAGACCATTTCCCAGTTGTATCATATTGACAAACCTGTGGCGTGTCTATACGAAATGTACCCTGTTGTTATTCTGTAACAATACAAGTATTTTTAAAGGTACTGTTTGACCAGCGTACTGACGTTGCTACAAACAACCACCAGATGGCAGCAAATAGCAGTTTATGATTTTCCTGTAGATGAGCGATACCTCCACATGCATTGGTTAGTTAATGTATTGTGTGGATTCGGATGCTGTTTCATGTTGTTATTCTGTGTGCTGTGCATCTATATGGGACAGTAAAAATAACTACTTAGCTATAATAAGGGGAATCATATAAGACTATACATGATTTATTTACATTTCAGTCATTTTAGCAGACGCTCTAATCCAGAGCGATTTACAGTTAGTGCATTCATTTTAAGATATCTAGGTGAGACGACCACATCACGGTCATATTAAGTACATTTTCCCACAATAAAGTCGTTCTCAGAAAAGTCGGTGCCAGCAAGAAAAGAATAGTGCATTTTTTTTATAAATATATTTTAAGTTAGGCTGCTTTTTCAAATAATTTATATTCTTCTTTCTTCATGTGATGAATTCTATGTATTGATAGATAGAGCATCCCCTTGGATTATACGGAGGTCCTCTAAAATCATTCCATAGTGGGTCAAAGAGAATTATAATACAGCAGCCTGTGACTGAAGATTCCAAGCAATGAGGAAGTGGAAAGTCTTCTCTCCTTTAGGGCCCTACATAGGTTTTTATCTGTGAAAGTGTGAAATGCTTGAAATTAGTATCTTTCTGGGAAAAGTACTTGAAGGTCCAATGCAGACGTTTTTATCTCAATACCAAATAATTTTGGGGCAACCATGAAGTACCTTACTGTGATTGTTTTCAATTAAAATGGTAATATATATATATATATATATATATATATAAACTGAAAACTAGCTGTTATTGCCAGAGAGGTTTGGAACTCTTGTCTTATTTGGTCTAACACATTTACTGCATAGTTATGTCACCATGAAAGGCCACAACTCCATCCCACCAAAACAGGCTGAAATTTCAGGCGGTCTTTTCAAACAGCTTACACTAAAAGGGCATTATCATAATTTTCACAATTTCACAGTATTATTCCAACCTCGTGGTGTGGAAATATATATATATAAAGAACACAGGAAAATCACGTTTTTGACTGCACAGTGAACTCTGATGTTCCGTTGAATGAATCTGTAATACGAATCTGCCGCATTACAGTGTGTCGCTGATTGTCCTCTTCAAGCCAATGACAGCGTGGGAGACGGAGTGGGTGGGAAAAGGGAACCTGAATGACAGCGCGAATCGCTGTCCTATATGATTCACAAAAGAGAGATCTGAACCTGAGAGACAATTACAGGCAGGGAAAATGCAGTGAGTGGGAGGCTGTTTTCAAGTGCTCCTGAGAAAACAGCCTGGTCTCAGACTAGACGTAACATAGTAAAAGTAAATTTAGTACTAAACGTAGTATGAAATGTTAAGTTTGGTATGCTTACATAAGACAGGTAGTTACTTATGGGTGGGCGTATAATGCAAACATCTAGCAACCCAAAGGTTGCTCGTTTGAATCTCATCCCTGACAACTTTAGCATTTTAACTAATTAGCAAGTTTTCAACAATGTACTACTTTGCAACTACTTAGCATGTTAGCTATCCCTTCACCTAACCTTAACCCTTTAACCTAACTCCTAATCTTAACTCTAAACTTAACCCTAACCCCTAGCCTAGCTAATGTTAGCCAGCTAGCTAACGATAGCTACCTAGCCACCTAGATGGAATTCGTAACATATCATACATTTCGCAAAAGTCGTAACATATTGTATGTTTTGAAAATTCGTAACATAATTCAAATTGTAATTCGTAACATATCATACGAAATGGGTGATGGACATCCACAGTTTAATACATATCATACGAAACGTAACATATCATACTAAATGGAGTTTCTCGGATTTACATACAGAATAATACGAAATGCTCTGAGACCAGGTTGGAGAAAGAGCCAGCTCTGAAGAGGAAGGCAGGTAATGATGACCTGGAGGATGTGGGAGGGTGTGTGTCAGTCCCCCTCACTGCCAACCTACCTCACAACACTCCTGAGGCCTAGTTGGCAGAGTTAACCGCCTGGTATGGCAACTGCTCAGCCTCTGACCGCAAGGCACTACAGAGAGTAGTGCGTACGGCCCAGTACATCACTGGGACCAAGCTTCCTGCCATCCAGGACCTCTATACCAGGCGGTGTCAGAGGAAGGCCATAAAAATTGTCAAAGACTCCAGCCACATATGCATATGACACAGCACAGCAGTGCTAAAACCAGAATGTATCACGCCCCCTGGCCCCTTGCGTATTAGTGTATTATTACCTTAATATTTATAATTAGAGTATTATTGTTTTAATATTTAGGATTCGTGTATTATTACCTTAATATTTATTATTAGTGTATTATTGCTTTAATGACTAGCCTCAACCTTCAGTTCCTGCTATGCTACATGTCACTATGGGACCAATATTGATTGATTCCTCTTACATAGTCCTCATTAATTTATCCTCACCTGCTGTCTCAATTGAATTAGGAAGCAGTCTCATTGTTGAAATGTTTAATTATGGAAACTGCATGTGGGCCAACTAGATTGTTCATCACACAAGCAAATCAATGGTAATGTTGAGAAATGCCCTTTAACAAAACATTATGCTGCATTATATAATGCTAATACGTTTCTGGAATATTGGAGACTTCAGCAGCATGGAATAGAAATTGGTTCTTGTCCACATCCACCAGACTGTAAATTGCCCCATCACTCCTCAATGAAAATTTACTGAAAATAAGTTTTGTATTCTAATCCAGCTCAGTTTGTAGAATAAAGCCTTGACATTTTAGAGACATTTTCCTACATGCTCTTGCAGTGCAGATCGTGACTTGCTGAATGAGTTGTGGAGGATTCGCCTGCCTAGTGCCCACATCACATATTGTAGCATATTCTGTACGAGCAAGGTGACGCCGATCTAGACCGACACTCACTACTACATTCCAGTCACTAAGCCTGTTCATACATGGATAGCTAGGCACAACTGTAACAGGTAGCTAGCTATTCAGTTGTAATGTTTTGTACAATGTTCGATAAATACGCCAGGTTCTACATCATCATTTATACCATACGTTATCTGTTTACGTTATCTGTTATGCCTAAAATGCGTGCGCTTCAGAATTAGTTCATTTACTTTGACCACAATCTGTTGATATCATATTGTTGGGTGTAGAGATGTGTGCATAGCTGTACTGTAGTCATTCAGGCATGCGGGTGTTATGAATGATTTTTACGCAGAGGCAGTGGTGTGGGCAGTGTTCGAGGGAGGAGGCGGATCCCTGTAAAATGGCAAGCAGCTCTATCCCTATGACCAGGCTCCCTGCGTTCTCTGTCTGCGTGTGGTATAGCCTCCAGACTGCGTGGGCGCAGTAGAAAAGTTTCTTATAAAAGCGGTGATTCCGGAGTCTCATATTACGCGCGTCCCCTCCCTCTGTACTAATTGTTTCTTACTACAATTCCGTCCACCTACTCGATTTCTCCTCCGTAGTATTTCTTCGAAAAGCTCCCGTCACTAAAGGAAATCTGGTCTATGGTTTTGGCTGAAGAAGGTTCCACGATGTCTCGGACTGACGAAGTACACCGTATAACGGAGAATGTCTATAAGGTAAGAAGCAGACCGCTGTCCATTCACTCCCGCTTCAATAATTCATCCATGTGATTGTTTTGATTAAGTGGCTTGATGAGTGGAGCCTCGTCAGTGGATGCGATCTGATAACGTTGTGGTTGCTGTTGGATTCGTTTTGAACTTTTGTTTTACGCAGAGGTTAAGATAAGCCTACTCTCTATTTATTTAGAACAAATCAAATCTATTTAATTAACAATGATAATGACTTTGGCTTCTATGGTGTACCGGGGGAATTTACAATCACAACCCATCTATAGGTCTCATCCCTGCTCTAAAAGTAGAGTTTTTTCTCTGCAGTGAGGGACACTGCTCACAGTAACGCCAACAGCCATAGGCTCACAGGGGACAAAAAAAAAAAGTTCCCCAGTCCAAGTTTAATTTGAATACATAATTTTACTTACTTAGGGATGTGTAACATATTGCGCTTGAGTAGTTATGTCAGCCCACCAGATGATTTTTGTCTGTAACCAGTTGAGCTAAATAGTTTCAGAGAAAGAAGTAGACTACACATGCCCACTGTCTGTTACCTCACCTGAATTTCGAGCGTCCAGTCCACTTTTATATCAACATCTATTCATATGTTGTAGGCTGTGTAGTACTTAAAATGATGTATATGTAAGTTTATATTAAAATAGAAAAAACTAACAGCTCTTGCAGTAGGTGGTTCACCTAGCTGTTGGGAGACATCTGTTAGGGAGTCTCCTGTTATAGGAGTCCCCTGTGTTGAGGGAGGACTGTTTGAGAGGGGGATGGGTGGCACTCTTTCTGTAATTACTCTGTAAGGGGGTTGTTTGTCTCAGAGGAGAAGCACATGGCTAAATAAACACTTGAGCAAATATAATAAGACTCAGATTAGCAGTGTCATGTTATTATTATTATTATTATTTTTAAATACACAAAAAAAGAGTAAGTCATTTTAGCAATTAGGGTTAAGTGCCTTGCATTGACCTACATTTTTATTAATTTTTTTCTCACCTAATTGGCTCGGGAATTCCAACG